TCATTTTTTCAAGCTGAGATACATGCAAAACAAAAAGTTCCTCCAAACATTTTTTATTACGCACAATATGGTGAGAAGTAGTACCATCATGTAGGTTTTTCATTTTGAGTATGGCAGAAACCATTAACACAACTCAATAGGGATTTGTTATTACAATTTTTGTAGAGCTTTTTACGGCGCATCTTTAAAAAAAAAATTCAAGATTTTATCATCTAGGTAAGCCGAAATATAGATATTTTGGTAGACCCGGAATACAGGAAAATGTTAAAAATAGTACATCATAGTGTTGCTACAGGTTCTCCTCTACAGTAGAACCTATAGATCTCAAACTTTCTAGTTATGTGCCTCTACATATGTGCAATAATATGTCAAAGTTTCAAAAAGTTTGCAATTGTCGAATGCGAGAGCGATAAATTTTAAAATCGTTTCAGAACTTTCGGAACACCCTTTATATATATAGTATATACATATATACACATAGTATATACATATATATACATAGTATATACATATATACACATAGTATATACATATATATACATAGTATATACATATATATGTCGTGCCGAAATTGTTAACAACTTCGGCACAACATATACATAGTATATTCATGTATATATATGACATTTCATGAGGTATATCAAGTCCCACATATATTCATGGGACTTTTCACAAAGTGGATATTTTTTGGATCTTTGACATTGCTGCCACGTGGTACATAAATGCGTCAAGTATGTTTGGAATTATGCATGTTACTAACACATCTGTGATATGGACATTGGAGCAACGAAATCTCTTGAAGGATTATCCAATCTCGTCGAAGGGCTAGGTATCATATGTACACCTGAATCATTCGTACGTGACATAAAAGAAAATCGAACTGCTACTGTGCAAATACTCAAAGAACGCGTCATGAACAAATCATTTTTAAGAACCTTACTTCAAATAAATGGCCATAGATGTCAAAAACGTAGTTATAAAAAAAACGTCATATATTCAATAGGCTCTTCTTTCTTACTTTTTCGAAATAAATACCATCTTGCTGAGAACATTCAATCGAAAAAAAAGCATACACATTGACTGGTAGGTATTGTTTGACAGTGAAGTCTTGAGTATTCTCTAAGTGTGTATCATCATACTCTATAAGAGATTTGAACGAACAATTCGCATTCTGTAAAAGTGCCTCGCGTAAAAGGAATATCTATTCTTCAACAAGAAAGTCAAGAAAAAATTTGATCTGTATTATCTTATTGTCACACAATCGATTAAAATCTAATGGTACATGAACTATTTTATCGACCATTTCTCATTTTTGAAACAAGTCATACAAATATGAAATTATTCCATAGGATAAACGTCAGCAAATTACAAATTACAAGAATAGTTCAGCTGTTCATACCGAATCCAAAAAACTGAAGCAGTGTGCGTGGATTCATATTCTTATTCGACAAAACTAATGTATTCGATGTGGACATGAAGACAACACTAAATTTTCAAAAGTAGAGCTCATCTCGTTTGTTGCTTAAAGATGTCAAGTCAAATTCAAGTCAGAACAATAAATTAGTGCCTTAGAAAAGAAACCCAAATAATATTTTTTTCCATAATTAAATTATTTCCACTAACTGATCATCGCTTTTCTAGAAAATAGTTATCGATACAAGAATGAGCGAAATTTTTTTTATTCGAAATCGAATTTCGATTGTATTCGTATGAAGAAATATGCGATGCATACTTTATTTCGGGTATCTGTATCGATAAGACTACAAAATGAGAGGTCTGTAGAGTGGAAAGCGTTACTCAGAAATAAATGCAGTTATTTTTATTTTGTTTTATCCCAATCAAAACTCTCAAATTCTCTTAGAGTAAGAAGAATTATAATAAACTAATTGAAATCTTTGACAAAGAGTCATTTCTGCACACCTTTCTAAGATAAAAACTCTGTTGCAATTTTTGTTTATCGTGAAAATTTGACTCTTTAGAGCCCTTGTTCAACATCGCTTTATTTCAATTCTAATTATCACCTCTATATTTGGAGAAGTCACTGTTTTGATTTAACTGTAAAGAAAGTTTCATCGACAATGATTTGGTTGGCTTCACCATCTAGAAAATGGGCTGGAACTCACTAATCGCCACCGTGTTCAGTAAACTGAACACAGTGGTACCACTAAACAATATTAGCCATTACTTATGGGACTATTTGCTATCACTTGGAGAATAAAATTCATTAATTCTGTCTCTAATATTCAGATAGCCATCTAGTTTTGGTACATTTGGTCATGAAAGTACAACACAAAGTATCATTAATATCTATTAGATACAAAACTGAAAGAGTCGGTGTTGTTGGTACGAATGTTGTTCTTGAACCATTTTTATTTATTCTCTTAAATACTAATTCACTCTGTTTGATCTGTGTATTTTCCTCAAATAGTCTAGAGAAATTTTTCCAATGAGAAATTTCTCCTTTATCATGAAATTCATGTAAATAAGCGGCATGTACTCAAATGAATATCTTATCTTTGCAATCCAGTACCAGTTTAATCTTTGATACTGTTAAAATCAAATTGTGTAAACCAGCTCGATTTTGATCCATCTATTTGTTCTAGCACTTTTTTTGTCACATTCTTTCAATGCCTTGTTTAAAACACCACAATTTGGATTGGTTTTTGTCATGTACAAGTTCGAATCAGGTGATATCTCTGAAAATTGTCTTTTCAATGACGCATACCCGTCTTCAATTATCGAATGTGACGAAAATCATGAGTCACTCATTGTTATAAGAAATTATTTTGACATTTGCAACTTCGATGACGTTCACGTTATTCTTTTATCTTTAGATGGAAGATAACGATTGACGTCAACTTTTCTTCAAACATTTATGAATAGATAAATCCTTATAAATTTAGCTTCTCTTCAATATTAACGTTATACATACACACGCGACATTCTAATGAATTCAGAAAATTTTTCATCATCTTCTCTTCAAGCATCTAAGTTCAACGCCGACGTTGGTTCACCATCATCTCTTTACACAGCTGTTCAATTAACAACAAGTAATCAACAAATGGATGCTTTGTCTGCAACCACAAAGTCATCTGTGATTGGCGAGCAACTTACTCAGAATCGCTTAATCACCTAGTACTAGTGCACAACTCAATTCTCAACAATCAAACGAAAATCAACGTATACATTACAAGCAACTACTATGGGCACTTTTTTTCAGTACTTTTATAACATTGGCTGGTGCTTTGATTATTGTTACTTTGGCTGTCAAACACAATAACTTGTGTGGGCAGTATGGCAAATTAGACTGCTTTCAAGCCTATTCTTTGATGATCTTAGGATGTGTACTCTTTTTGGGTGGTTTGTATGCATTCTCAGAAAGCTGTCCGGTGCTTCGTTAACGGTTACAAACGAAGGGATGGTGCTTTCAACGAAGAGACCATCGACAATCACCTCAATCTCAATGCTAAAAATGCATTGTTATTATGATCAATAATCAATTACGAATCGAGTTTTTGCTTATCATATTAACAGTCATTTAAGAATGAATAAACAATTAAATTTATACTCTTTCATTTTTAAATAGTTCACTCTTCATTCATACTATCCTCGTGTATAACTTTTACCTTTCTGTTTAGCCTAACAAAATCTGATGAAAACTAAAACAGAGTTTATTCTAATAGCTCAGTAATCACACATTATATATTTTTAATGAACAGAAGTGTGTTTAAAGGAGAGATACTTTATCGAATAATGTTCCATTGAAAAGTTTAACACATGAATATTGATTGACTCGAGAATGTAAACAATGCTGAAGTCAATCTGTCTCGTCACTTGGATATGATGTAAACGAATTTCATGTGCTTTATAAGTAAATGCATGATGATCCATCTAACATGAACCGCTAGCATTGGACTATTCTATCATCATCTGAATATGCAATATCATCGAAAGCCCATGATGAATTTTTGGCTTGATTATAGAGATTGTTTTGTTACTAAATTGCATCAGTTTTCTTTCGAGTAGTTAGATCAAATTTTTAGCACCAAAGATCATACGAATGGTTATTAATCGAAACAACAAAGTCAAAGGTATTCAATACCATCACAATAAATACAGCAGAATGCACTGGTTTTCAGTTACGAAAACACACAACTCTTCGAATGTTAAAGACCAAACAATGAAAAAAACTTCATTATGTTTATAACAAAAAATGATAGGTAATTTACTTTTTCAGAATAAAACTTTGAATTTTGATTTCGGCACAACGTGAGATTTGTACTGATGATTAAAAATGACAATCAAAACAGCACAAGTTTTTTGAATGAATATTAATAGCAAAGATTAATAATGGATTCTTTGCCTAAGCTCAAACTATTTCGAATATTGACGTAGTGTAAAAATTTCTCATGAAGTTAGAAAAAAAACTTCAACTCGAATTAATTAGTTACAGTAAACAATCGGGCCACTTCGATTTGGCGATAGATTTTGGAAGGCTATCTATAGTGGAAACTATCATTATCGACATGGACGATTGTTGGTTTCATGAACCAACCATCCCTAGAAATTATGATTAATAAGAGATAACTTTCATCATACTCCATCACTCTGATGGGTCTCTTAGCGAATGACTTTCAATCTCAAATATTTTGTGACTATACTCAGAGTTTTAGAAATTCGAACATCTTAGATCTTGGAAATAAATTGTTTCTAAATTCATTGCACGGACTCGTAAAGAACTTCTTACTTGTCGATATCAATTCTATTCATAAGACATCTTCAATATATATAACAAAGTATCTATTATTTTTTATATCGTTTGAGATCAACCCTCACATCTCTTGTTGTACCCAAAGAAAAATACCAAGATAGGATGTTGATGTGTATAAAAGTGTGGATCTAGAGAAGATCCACACCCGCACCCTGATTGTAGTAGAGGTAGTCAGTTATGTGTAATATTCGGGAATTAACGCATAGTTTTTAAACTCATCGTGTACAGACTAGCGGATGAAGTGAATGCAGACGAAAATGAGAGCGAGGCTCGAACTAAGTGTTTCAGGTGACGGAGTGTCTGAGTTAGCTATTGCAGATGGTTGTCCTTGTTGTCGCCAAGCTAGATAAATATTGACAATAGCTGCCTTAGCTTCCCAAACCGCGTCGTTATTAGCGGCATTCGCTGTAACTAAAAGAGCCATTGGTTGAACCAATCGAGGATAAACTACGACATAAGCGTACCAAAGGGTGTTGCTGCCAGTGTGCCATAGAGATAGACCAAGATTATCCTTGCTAGTAATCATTCCGGAGAGTGAGTCTTGAGAATTGGGAGTAGAAGCTAAGGGAAAAACATATGAGCTATGAATGCTTTGCCACATGGATGCATGAAGTAAATAGGGTGAGGTCGCTGAATTGAGAAAGCTGTTATTCATCGGAGCAAAGCCGAATGACGTTAGGTCACGTCCTTCTTGTAAATGACAGGCAATGAATTTAGCCCAATCATTAAGGCTTGCGTGAACCGTACCTGCAGGCCCCCAAGCCTTTGGATTATCAAGATCAATACTATGTATCACACCGGTTGTATCCATGTAATGACCTAATGGTTGAGTAGCAAATGAATTCAATGGTATCTGTTGAATTGGTGAACCAAATCCTGCTGTGATCATTCCCAAAGGATCAAATAATTGACGTTGAATAATCGATTCCCATTGTAAATACCAGATTTCTTCTAATATTAATCCTAATAAAATGAAATTATTGTTCGAATACGAATAAGCTACAGGAACATGAATTGACGGTGGCGCTTTGGGAATGGCCATCGATAATAAGAGACTTAAATGATAGCGGCGTGAGGGCAAAGAATAGTTGCTACAAGATTCCTTGGTACCATTTCTTTCTAATGCCAATTCTTCAGCGTAGAATGCAGCGAATGCCGTGTCCAACGCGTCAACACCAGAGGCGTGAGTCAATAAATGAGCGATAGTAACATTTTTCCATGAGTTATGAATGGCCAAACCACAAGAATAGGGAGATTTAGCGAAGTAGCCAATAGCATTAGAAAGATTAGCGCAGGTATATGAAGTTGACGGTGGTGTTGAATTGGAAGAGAATGGTAAATAATGGAAGATCTGGCCGACAGTGGTGGTAAGATTTAGTTTATCTGCTTGAATTAACATTTGAATGAGGATGGCCGTCATCGACTTGGTGTCTGATCCGAGGTGCCATTTATCGTTGACTGTTACTACTTCTGGAATCACTGCATCAGCGCGACGAACACCAGACACCACGGTTGATACGGGAATAAATGGACAGATCACATTTGGAGGTGACTGAGCACCTGTGTAAGATTCCAATGAAGGTATTTGAATGATTGAGGCACCAATGGCTGGCACGCCAATATATTTGCGTTGAATTTCTTGTAATATGGAGAGTATCGTTTTGTTGAGGTGAATAGGGGTGGCAGGAACTGTGTTGATGCATGGTAATCCAATTAATTGAACGAATGGAGCAGTAGTACCAACACCGTAAGCATAAGGTGCAGCTAGAAGACTAGGAAATGATCCATTCACCGTAGAAAAGTTAGCAGTTGGACTAATCCATGTCGCATGAGCAGGATTAGTGGCGAACAGAGCAACATAACCAGCACCGCCATTACTGGAACCAGCATACCAATAGGCGACACTGTAGCTAATACCAGCTGTCAAATTAACTGGTTGATCGAATGGTAAGGTCCAGGACTTAGGTTTCACATTCGAGAATTCAACAGCGGAAATGGTAATTGTTGCCGTCTGTGCGATGAGCGTAGATGCAGCATCATAGAGAGCAGCTCTGGCAGTGAGAGAGGCGTTATTCTGTCGGGCAAACATGGCAAGTGCAGTAATCTGAACCGTAGAGGTGAATTGGAATGACATCTGAAAAAACACATCCGTAGCGATGGTTGCCAGATAAGAAAAGTTCGATGAAATAGTTGGACCATTTGCCAAGAGAACTTGAGGCACACCCGAAGTGGAGCAAAAGAAGTTGGCAGCCAATGCTGCTGAAGTCAACCAAAGCCAACACCAATAAATAAAAACTCCGGCCAGGTAATGAAAACGCATCCAGGAATGAACCACAATGGTTGTTGAAAGTAACGAGGAGAAGTAGCTGAAACAACAAATGAATGAAAAATTAGCATTAATCCACGTAGATACAAGAGAGAAAACAGTCAATGCGGTCGCACATGGAACAAGTAAAATAAATATAACATAGTAGTAGTGGTATAATAGAATATCTTCAAATTCAAAAATTGATTTAACACACAGCGTTTATCTTTTTACCCCAAAGCGTAGATCATCTTATCACTCATCAAAAAGAGTTATTTTGACGTCTAGCATGAGCATTACCTCGTATAGGTTAATTATATAATCGATTCAATTTTTTGTAGTGATGTGAAGAACTCATGAATAAAAAAGACCGTATATGAGACTTATAAGCCTTTTCAAAACGTTTACGACAGTGCAATATACAATATATTCTTTAGTGATTTATATATGTGAAATACTCTTGAATATATCCTTCGCAAGGATTTACTACAGATTGCACTTTCACAAATCCTTTTTTTTTATTTACTATTCTACGCTGTTTCTACATTGCAGAATAATTCTTCAAGCCTACCGTCGAGAATACCTTCTCTTTATTTTCTGTGATTATTCTGCACATAGCGAAATCAAATATAAATTTTCTTTTTCATCTCTCCTTCTTATAACTAATGTAATGTACATAACGATAACAGCATGATGCAGTACTCTTTGGGTAGTGTCGACTTATGTGACAAAATGCATAATGAATCTACCTTTTTGTATTCTTATTGACATGAGTCAACGCAAGTCTAAGAGTTACGTTTGATGCAGTTAGTCGGCAGAACACCACATCAATGACGAGAAGAAAAAGTGAAAGAAACAAAAAATATTTAATGTTACTGGATATCGCACTCTCGTATTGTGTACAGAATGATAAAGAAAAATACGTGAAAGAGATTTGTAATGATAAATGAGAAGAGTCTTCCAACTTGACTGAATTACAAACCTCTATTCTCACATGAAGGATATATACAGGGTGTCCTAAAAGTCACACTACACTCCAAAAAAACATTATCTGCAATATATAATCCGATATCTATATTACATTATTCTTCACCAGTTTTCAGAAAAATAAAAACTTCTTCTAGGCAGTTCAAGAATATAACCATGGTTTTTTTTTTCAAATTAGACAATGTGTTGAGAAAAGCGAGATATAGTGTTGTGAAGTGGCTTTGTTTTTGCTTATTGCAACACTGTATTAGAGTGCTGCAGGATAAAGCTTTTTCCTATCTTATACCCTAGTCTTCCGTATCCGCCAGACAAGAGCCAAAAATAGGTCATTTGACAACAAAAAAATTCTCTATCCAGACTCATTCTATATATTTATTTCTTTTTTGTTAGAAAGAACATTTCAGGAAACCGTGCAATATAAAGCTCTTTTTTTTCTCATTCTTACTTTTTAAGCGAAAAAAAGGAGCTACAAGTTCAATGAAAGAAGCATACACAGAGAAAAAACGCAAAACTACTATTTTTTTCAGCATAGGATGATGGAAATCATCGAAAGTTTTTAGTGCTCAATAAAAAAATTTGTATTATTTTCGAAAGAACCGAACTTCGACTATCTTGCCATACATCTGCCTTAATTTTTACTTTTTTGATGATCAAGCCTTAATTTATATCAAACTAGAACTTTGTAGGACAATCGCGAGACTTGAAAAATCCTATTAGGCTTGCACGACTCTGATTTCCTTGTTAGTTTGATTTTTAACAAGAAAGAAAATTATATGAACAAAAAATGGAGTTAGCTTTTTTTATTTACATCAAATTATATGTTTAACAATAACAAAGTATTAAAACAATTTCCACCATGTAAATAAATAATTATAAATTTGTTTAAATATTGATGGATAATTATTATCCCAACAATTTACATTTGGATTATAAAATTGACTAATACGTATTAAATTCGTTTTCGCTATAGTCCAATTAAAATTTGGCAAACGCATATTTGTTATATTGAATATCTTTCTTATAATATTCATTAAATATAAAATATGTTGATTTTTTTCTTTGATAGAATGTAAATATTGATAATGACCAAGAAAACAAAGTGTTGAATGCATATCAATTATTGATGTTGGTCTATAACGAACTGAAATATCATATAATTGTGTCCATTGAAGATATTTGGAATACTCAGAATAATTTTTATTTAAACGATGCAATTCTTTAGCAAGATCTTCTATTGTTTGAAAATCATCAACATGTATATATGAATTTGGTATAGCTATACGTTGATATTGTTCTTTTTTAGCACCTAATACAATCGGTACAGCATGTCCATTTAAACCTTGTATCCAATATTTTTCTGTAATATATGTATCACATTTTGAATTTTCAAATGATAAATAAAAACGATAATTTAATAATATATTTTCCATACAATTTGATGTACCTTTTTGACATTGAATTGATAAAATTGGTGAATGATAAATGGATTTACAATTACCATATATATCAATATGAATATTTTTTTGTGAACGTAATTTATTTACATAATCTTCACGACGTGAATGAGTATTACAATTAGAAACAAACCAAGCAATATAAACAATATTTTGATTTAAAATTTTTTGTTTAGTTTGTTTTAAATAAGGTTGAAGAGATTTTATGGCATGAGATGATAATGGTTGATTACAAGTATAAGGACAAATATTTAATAAAATTTCTTTTCGATTAATTAATTCTTTATGAAATATAGAAGAAAGAGTATTTAAATATATAGAAGATACATTCATAAAAGTATCTGATAATAAATCTAATGTTAAATTGATTGTTTGATGAAGATTTATATTGAGTTTACTTTTAAGAAGATCACCAATTTTTGGTTTGATACGATATCCCTGAAGAAGAAAAACAAACAGACGATGTAAGTTTTTTTTTTCATATGAATAAGTTTTCCATTGTCGACAGATAAATATGATTTTATAGTAAAAAACAAAAAGTATTCGTTAGTGTCCAACTCATAATCATATTGTCCTGAGTGCGGAATATCGCTAAAATATCAAGCACATAGTCTCTGTCTTCAACAATAAAATGTATAAAAGAAAAAAGTTTGATTTATGTCAGACACTGCTATCAATAATTCTGTTCTATTAAACTTTACACTTTCTGAATGTCATTCATGGAATAACTCATGAGAAAAAAAAAGAATTACAACTGTAATCATCAGTGCTGATCACAGAGAGTGAGATAATGATCATTATTGTACTATATACTCTGGATCTACAAAAAATGTGGACCCACAACTTCCTATATTGATTGCATAGACCATATTTCTGCTTGATCTTGTTTACATAAATACCACTAAAACTATTCTATACACCTGAAGACTTTGATGTTACTGTTGATTGGACTATTATGAATGATGAATTTTGTTTATTGATTAACTATGTAAACGTAATGCTCCTTTTCACTAAGCGAAAACTTTCAATTTATTCATTCTCAAAGAGACTCGTCACTTGTTCCTCGAACAGAAGTGGATAAACTGAATACAACATTGATAATGACTTCTCGTATGTGTTATACTGAAATTAATTTGATACTTAAACGGCTAGCTATCGTCTGACCGACAATCTAATAAGTGTAACCTAGTTATTGAAATTTAACAAGGCTGAATTCGTTTTATTTTTTCGGTGAAAAATTATACATATTCTGTAGATGTTGGTTTGTCGAAATAGTCAAGAAAAATCAATATGATTTGTCAAAGTAGCAAAGAATTTTTACCCATAGATCAGTGAATTACAACTGCTCTATTGACTTTTTAGTGAAAGCTAGAATATATATTGAAATGAAGAGTATTTCAATCTGACACTTGTTAATAAATACCGGAATTTTCAATCAAAAAGCATGTCATCTTCTCACAGCGATTGAATATTCACGACATCTCAATTAACATAATCTGTTTGTTACTTGATGACAGTTTTTTGAAACTTTGAGAATTTTAGAACGAAATACCATACTCTAAGCATGCTTGACGATTTACATTTTGTGGATAGATGCGTTGAGTATTAAAGTAAAGATCTGGTAACATTAGCTGACTTAATGCATAGAAAGATACTTTTCGAATGTGTATCATTCCAAGAAATATTCTAAGAACATTTCAATGTCAAAAAAAGTACTTTGAGTGAACTCACGTTAATTTCTCAGAACCGTTTCTCTAATAAAGGTTATGAATATTATATAAGATAACAAAAAAAAACTCGGTCCCATCACTTACAAGTTTAAGTTGAGAGTGCTGAATTTTTACATGAATGCCATAGTTCAACTCAGAAACGTTAAAAAAGCTATACGTCTTTTACATTACACGTTTAACAAACTTTTCACAAAAAGAAACTACTATTCTTGAAGCGACTCTCTGTGAAAAGTTCCAAATCGAAATTTGAAAATCAGTTTTCTTGACGTTTCTGAGTGGGGGAGCACAAAATTCATTGAAAAACTATCGTATAAGTAGTCTCGAGTTAAAAGTGATTTATCAGTTGACGGAGTTCTCTCGTCAGGTTATCAATTATTAAAAAATTATTTTAAAAAAAAAATTATATTTTTAATGTTGCTCAATTAACAAATTGTTCTTTATCTTAACAGTTACATATATGTATAGTTCTATATTAAACATTTTTGTTTTCCTTTTAAAAAGATTTTTAGAATCAATAGGAATTCTTCTATGACTGAAGTTTATAATATATATAAATGTTAATTTAGAATTTTCATTATTTGAAAGGAAAAAAAAGAAAAGTACATACTCGATATTGAACATGAAAATCTGATTCAGGTTTAAATGTTGATGTTAAATTAAACCAATCATCAAAATCTTTTACATTTTTCATATCGACTTTTCGATAAGAATTTCTTGGAGATTCTTCTGAATGAACTATCCATAATTGAGATTGATGTAAACTTCGATATGAAATATCATTAGATAAAATTGGAAAATGAACAAGATCAACAAGATTAACAAAAACACTATCAGCTAATGAATAATCTTCTGGATCAAGTATATTACATATTTGTTTTAAATTATTATTAAAAATTTTTGTATGAGAATCAGTACGTATACCATAGGATGTTGTATAATGAGCAATAGATACTTTTTTAAATGTTAAATTATTATTTAATATAAATGTATGATTATTATAAATATGTTTTATAAAAGTTTTTTGTATTTTAATAAGAAAATTTTGAGAAATAAAAAATATAATAAAACTTATAATAAGAAATAATATAATTTTTTGATAAATATATTGATTTTTGCGATTCACCATAGATGTAGATACTCTACTAAATGAAGAGGTTTTTTTTTTTTCTTTCTAATCAATATATTGTTACTGAATAAATATTAAATTTTTAAGAGTAAAAGAAAAAAAATCTATTGTCCTTTTCGATACAAATATTTATTATACTGATTCATCTTCAATATAACATTATCTACTAATGGTCTATCAAAGAATATTATTTACTGTTCTGTCATTCTCTTTCTTCAGTGGCTACAATCTTATAAATAAATAAGAACAAAAAAAAAAGAAGAAAGAGAGAATGAAGAACATGTTTTTTGTTATTTCTTTCATAATTAACATCGAACAATCATATGTTTTTTTTTTCTAGTCGACTATGATATTTTATTTTGAATAAATTATATTAGAAAATTATCTAAGCAATATATGTGAGTAGATTTTTAATCAAATCTTAATAGTGTTGTTGAATAAAGATGGCGTACTTCAAGGCCATTTTTTCCCAGTTTTTTTTTTGTCAACATATTCTCCAAATGACTCATTGTTGTAACTGGGAATTTTGTTAAAATAAATAACAATAAACTTAACTTTCTTTTCTATATTAAATACGTTGTTTTGTAGGCTATGCACTATAAGAAAGTGAAACTTGTATGACATACTATCAGACTGTTGAGAGATCCTCTATAGTTGTCAAATTGTTTTTTTTAGTTAAGACGATGTTTATTTTGATGAGTGCTTAAAGAGTAATAGAAAAAATCTAGAATTGTTTGGTTTTCTAGATGTTCGTTCTTGAGATATTGACATTTTATTGTCTTTTTTTGCCTCATTCAGATTAGATAGAATATCTATTCTCTAATTTCGATTTCAAACTTTACATAAAAGAAATTCTTAATAAGATTAGTTGATTGTGAAAGTAGTATTTTCTTTATGGAGAATGTAAAGAAGAGATATTCGAAAAATTAAAACTTGCATAATGAACTAATCTTATTGAGAACTTTATTCGTGGAAAGTTTTAAGTCGAATTTCTACATGACTTAAGGCTATTACTCTCTAACATTCATCAAACTAACATCATGTCAATTGCATAGCGATTTAAGTCCTAGAGACGTTCTCTCGGGATATGAACAGTAAGTTTATTTAGATTTTTTAAGAGAACTAATGAGTTACATTAGTTGATAAAAAGTGACAGACGTTTACAAGATATTTCGCATTTATGTATAGCTTTAAAACTTGTGTTTCATGAATGATTTTTCTATATTTTAACAATTCAGGTTGCTTCTTTTTTAGTCATATTACTAACGCTTGTATTTCTGTGATAACTTATCCGAACAATCATACTTAAGGCTAACTATTTTTTTAAATATCCAGGGGCGATGCGAGCACGGGGGGGGGGGGGCTTGGGAGAGGGTACCTCCTGCTTTGAGAATTCTGCCTCAGATTTTCTTCTAATTTAGAGAGATTATTAAAGAGTTTTCTCCGATTTTGGAAAAGTATAATCGGACAAATTTTATAAATTTTGAGAAAAATTGTAGGCTACTTTCTCCGATTTTTGGAATCCCCCTGTTCTGACCTCTTCGCGGCGTCTCTGTAAATATCGAGAATAAGTCAACAAATATATAGCATATTAAAATTAGTTCTAGGTAAATTTAGAATTTAATGATAAATGCATTTTTATTCTGCATTGTTACATCACTAACACATGGAAGGATGCTGTAGCTGTAGACACATGATTATATCGTACCAGTCACTAGATGGCATTATTTTATATTTTTCCAAAGTTGAAAAAAAGATAATAATCATTTTCGTTGATTCATCACAATTTTTAGTGATAAGGAAACTATCAAATAGATATTGTGTAGAAATATCACTACTGACCTCAATGAAGAAATATATTTATTGGCCAAAATTATTCCAGTCATTCTTAGGACTCTACAAATATGAAATTTTTTAGTCTCTATATTCCCTTAGAAATATATATCAGTATACTCAGCGAATCTATCATTGTGTAGTCCTTTATAAGGCCATTCCTTTCTTCAAAAATCAATCTTCGATCAGATACATTCAAATTACATGAAATTGTCAGCCCTATACTATGATGTATGTTCTTTCAAACAAACATAAAAAAATAAAATATATAAAACAATTCATTTTTCATGATCATATAGATCATGAAAAATTTTCTGCATAGAAGAAAATGAAGAACAAGATATCTTTCTATTCATGTATCTTAATTTTTAGTTTATAAATTACCAACTCAACAAACTTCATGCATAGAAATACTAGTGTTTATTGAATCATTGTAACATATTATTACAAAAAAAATAGCATATTTTGATAGAATTAATATCTCAATGTGGCAGCGAACGCATATTTTCGAGTAATCAATGAAACTTATGTCAATGCCTCATACTCAGCATTTTTATCAACTAGACAAAAAGAAAAAAAACTTAGTTTCAATTGCTTAGAAATAATAATAATTATTTATATAATTTATTTATTTATGTGAATTATCCTGTATTTTTAGATTATAAAAAAAGAAAAAAAACATGACTGAAGAAATATCGACGAATCATCCTCCATTAAGTGAACAAAATTCAAATGAAATTGTTGCTAATCCTGCATTTATCACATGGCATTATCCTCCATATTGTGAACTTTGTAATGTTTATTTTTCTGGTGAATCATGTTCGAAAATACATTTTGATGGTCGAAATCATAAGAATCGATTACATACATGGAAAAAATATCAAAATAATTTAGAAACACTTTCAAATAATTCAAAACAATTTCTATGTGAAATATGTTGGAAAGAAATGAATACACAATTAATTTTGGATAATCATTGTAAAAGTCCCGCACATTTAAAAGAAGTTAAAGGACGTTCAATTACACAAAAATTAAAAGATGAATATAGACAATTAAAAGAAACCAATTCAATAAAATAGTTTATTAATTAAACAAGACTTTCATCTTGTTTTAATTGTTTTAAACTTGATCGTGGTATTGGTTTTGGTATATTATTATGTAATAAACAAGATATATTTGTATATATAGATGAAATTTTTTTTTGTTCATGATAATTTCCCGAAATTCGATTTGGTGATGTTTGTGGACTAGATTTTTTTAATATTGGTTTTGGTATTATAATAATATTATTTGAAGGTGAATTATCAGATAATGATGATGTTGTTGTTGTTGTCAGAGGTTTTTGAATTTCATCATCTTTTGTTTGAATTTGAGATACAGATGTTATAAAAACTTTCGAAAAACTAAGTGATGAAGAAGATTTATTCTTAGGTTGTTTTAATTTTCTAGTAGTATCAATTGTTGTAGAATTATTAGAATATGATTTTTGAATATTTTGATCATCAAAAGATTTTTCTGATGATGAACGTTCAACACCTATTTTATAATAACAAAAAAAAAGTAAAATAGAATTTTATTAATTGATTAATTATGAAGAAGAAATTTTGTATAATTACCTGAATCATTATCATCATCTCGTATAATTTTTCGTCGATTTTTAATTATTGGTAATGATGATAAATATTGTTTTTGTTGAACAGCTGTTATAATTGCTTTTCGTTTTGGAATATATTGTTTTAAACGTAATAAATCAGGTTCACTATCATCTGTTTCACTTTTTTCAGTTCTTTCTGATATTGATGATAATTTTCTTGATGTATATTGTTCATCAGTTGTTGTCAATCCTGTATTATAATTATTATTCAATAATGATGATGAAATTAAAGATGTATTTTGTATTTGTTGATTTAATGGTGATGATGATGATTCATATTCATTATGCATAACACGTCGTTTTTCAATATAATCATTATAATGATTATCATCTACATCATCATTTGTTATTGTTGTTGACATAAGATTTTTTTTTGATAGATTATCACCTGATGAAGAATCTACACTTGATGTATGACGCCATACAGATGAATCATTTATATAATGACGATTATTTTTCAAACGATATTTTTGATATAGACATAAAAATGAATAGAAAAATAGAACAATAAAAAGTTTAAGTAAACTAAAAAATAATAATATATATGCTAATACATCCATCCATGTATCAAGAAAATACATTGTACGTGTAAGACAACCAATACTAAACATATTACAACTTAATGGTACATTATTTTGATATGATAAACGTCCATCAGATCCACAACAATGAAATGTTAATTGAAGTTTATCTAAAGCTCGTTTAGCACGTTCATCATTACCTTGTCGATAAGTAATTACTAAAAAAAAAAAAAAAATCAAAACATTTACATTAAAATTATTTATCAATTAAATTTACCTAATTTTGGTAATTGTTCTATAAGTGTAAGTCTTGTTTCATATTTACTTGTAAATGTCAGTATTGATATAGTAAATTCACCAATAATAATAAAAACAATCATTGTTGATGCAATAAATAAAAATACATGTGCTGAATATAAACCCCATACTAAGATTAAACACATAGCTAATGTTATTATTGATGAAACAAATAAACATAATGATAAATATCTTAATATCCATAGATCCTATTAAATAAATAATACACACAAAAAAACAAAAATAACAACAGCAAATATTGTATTTTTTTGTTATTATTCTTATAAATTATATATTTACCATATAACCAATATCAGCAAGACTATATGCTAAAGTTTTATATCGTTGATCAAGTACACTCCATAGAGCAAATGCTAATTCAGTTAGACCAAGAATACATAATAGAACTATAGATAATTTACTTAAAAATGTTAACATTGATTTATTCATTTTATCAAGAACTTAGATCGGTAATATTAAATTGATATAAGAAACAAAATTCATCATCTGAAAAAAAAATAAATAAAGAAACATTTATGTCAATAAGTAAATAGAATGTTTTATAATTAATAATCTAAGTTTTTTTGAATTTTTGTCTAATCTATCATATGAAGATTAAAAACAAAAAAAGACAACAATTTTTTTTTTCAGTTTTTTTTTGTTTATCTTAAATTAAAAAATCGTTATTTGTATAGTTCTTGGTTGATAGAACAATATGATGAATCAAGAAAACGAAAAACTATTTAGGATAATTTTATTGTTGTCTCATACAAAAAAAAAGAAAAATAAATAGAATACTAAAATATGCATTTATATTCTATTTTCTATTATTGATGCATCAATGTAAGAGAATTGAATAATAAATTTTTTTTTTTTTATGTCTATCTATTATATAAACTAAAAATGTATACAGAGATGGAAATGATTTTTTTGCTTCTATTATGATCAATTTACTCTGCATGAAAGCAACATAGTTATTTAACTCTCTCTTGAAACCAATAAAACAATACTGTTCTAGAGACATGACGACAGTTATCTTCTTTCATTATATATTGTTCATACTTGACACATCGATAAAAAACAAAATTAGTCTTACCTTAAGGCATATATAAGATCGATTGTGTTATGAATAAGGCAGACATTTTTTTATAATAAAAAAAAAAATAACATGACTTACAATGTTCTTGGATTAGATGAAAAGAAAAGAAATATCTTTTTTCTTTTTAATGTATCCTGACAAGAATGATTGATTTTTATATATAAAGTCAATTTATACTTAAAAATCTAGCACATCTAAATCTTAATACCAAAATCTCCATATTAATCATACAACTATAGATATGACTGTAAGTGTTAATTTCTTTTTTTTTTTTCAATAAACTTCAATGTTAAACTATCAATAGGTAAAAAAAAAATAGCATAACCTTGTAGAAGAAATAAGAGAAGAGGAAATAATAAAAATACAGAGACAGAGAGAGAGAGAGACACGCGTCATTTCAATGGTATTTATTTACAACGTTTTTGACCTCTACAAAAAAAATATTAGAAAACACGAGAAGAAAAAGTACTACACTATTAATAAGTTACATTGTTCATCTTCTTATTAAATGTAATAGTTCTGCTTGATAATTGTCATGAAGAACTAACTTTGATGATTGAGACATGCACGAAACAGTATGAATATTTGTCAATTCTTACCGGTTTTTTTTTCTTCATTCATTCGCGTATTTATTTGCCTACTTCTTTCGTTCTATTCGTCATTCAAAACTTACCTGTTCTTCAGTCCCTACCAATTTTTACTTCGTTTCTTTTTTCAATGTCACATATTCAAAACTACCATAAGGCATAAACACGAAGTGACTAACTGTAAAAAAAGAATTCATAGGATATATATTATTTCTTTGTTCTTATTTTGTTAATAGATGGTCTCATTTGTATGAGAATCACACAATCTATTCAACGGATGTTCATATTAATTTTTTTTTGTTACTGTTGTTCTGATGAATTCAGTTCAGATGGTATAGGTTTATTATATAAAATGTTACTTGATTGGCTCAGTTAGTTGTGTTTTTTTATGGTGACAATCAAACAAGAATATGTTTTTTTTTTCTGCACTTAGATTAATGAAGAAGAAAAAAAAGTCAGTTCTTCGTCTCGGGATAAAACAATTTGCTTAATTAATTTTTCTTTTGATGATGTTGAATCTGACTGATATTCAAAGAAATAGAATTTGTTTGTATTTTATATTAGACGTACATGTGGAATAACAAAATTTGATTTGCATAAACATCAATATTGAAAATCTTTTTTATTATTTATCTCCCAAAAAAAAAAAAACAATTTTACAAAATTTTATTTCTGAAATATTTCATAATTCTTTTCATGTTATATCATTATATTGTAAAGAAAAAAACAACAACAATATTTATTCTAAAAATAGATTGCATTTGTAATTGTTTTAATGTTTAATTGACAATCTTTTATATCATTAATTCATTGATAAATGAAGTCCGAATATAATAAAAAGCTTTCTTTTTCAAGAGATCATAAATAAGTTATATAAATATAAAACTAGGTTGAAATACTCTGATAAGCAGAGGGTACTTTTTTTTTCAATCTTGTTATTGAATATGCTTCGAAGAAATTATCGACCACAGCGTGCCTTATTCGCATGACAAGTGGGCATTGAACTTTCTTCCTTGTAAATGATAAAATATAACACAGAAAAGCATTTTTAAGAAAAGAAAGACATTTTTCGAAAGAAAATTTTTTCAATAACAAAATATCTGAGGGAATTCTTGCCTCCATTTATTCAAGAAAATTCTTTTTTTTTTTTAATATTTGTTTTGTGGTAAATATCATTCGATGCAATTTAATATGTGGATTCCGACTATACTATTTTCGTCTATTAAACATTTTCCAGAGTCAAAAAAAAACTGAAAAACGTAAGTTTTTTGAACAACCACAATGCCGTTCAGGAATGATTGCAACATTCGTGATCAGTAGATACGAGAACTTGTCAGATCTAGAGATGAGATGTAGAGAGCTAAATTGTCTCAGTCAAAAAAAAACTATACAATTTTGCTTTGATTGATATGATCTATAATATAAGTTTTGCTAAAAACTATAGGAAGTCGAACTACAATTTTCATTTTCAATTTGAATAATCTTTTTCTCATAGTTCAGTCAAGGCTATTAGGATAAAAATTGTTGCCGTATATCTCAAGTGCTATCCTATCAAACTTAATTTTCATCATATACATTTTATTAGAAAAAGTATTATTTCTAATGACATTTATCAGTTAGACAAACACTATCAATTATTATATTATTTTATCTTGTCTCTTACAATTTTATCTCAAACAAGTTCTAAATTGTTTTCTTTACTTTCACTATGAAAACAAACATACCATTCTTTCTATGAATATAATAAATTAAGCATGAAGGAATACTTATCAATTATTCAATATAAAAAAAAAAATGATTCCTCATTTCTTCTTCTAATTCACATATGCTGATTATTAACCACTTAACTGTATATCAGTATTGATCCTAAAATAAAAAATATATAGTTCAAGATCAAGGAAAAATATTGTAATAGCGAAAT